GTGTGGGCCGAGGGGAGCGGGGCCGGTGGCCGGCCTCGGGCGCAGCGGCGTCGGGTGTCAGGGCCCAGCGAGGTGTGGGGGGCGTCCCCAGAGGGGTGAGGAGGCTCAGTGGAGTGATGCTGGGGTTGGGGCGTAGTTTGGGGAGCCTGGGGCCACAAGCGGTCGCACACCTTCTGTCCCTCGGGCGTGGGCCACCTCTGCTCAGCTGCACCACACGTGCAGTCTAGAAGTGCCCGTCAGGGAAGGGTAATCCACAGCAAATTGGGTAATTCCCAGGTAATTCTCCCAGCAAAACGTGCTGTGAGAATCCAGGGTCAGAATTAAGATTTGTCCACTGAAAGACGCGGTGGGACAGGGCAGCTGCAAACTCCTGGTGTGCCTTACTGCCAGGACCAGCCGTCCCAGGTGCTGCGAAGAAAGCTGGTCACAGGGAAGTATAAAACAAGACTGTGGAAAAAGTCTGTTCTCAAATACCAGACATCCTAGGAGGCGGGTGCTGTTGGCCAAGGGAAGTGTCTCGGTACATGGGCAACATCTGTCTATGCAGACTCACACCCTGGGTCACAACACAGGGGCTAACAGAAGTTATTTAATAGTTTTCTGAAGTTTCCAACCTGATTTACTAATTTAAAAGTATTCTAACCCAAACAATACTTTACTTGGCTTATGCTAATGCAAATGGTTTCCTCAGCTGTTGGCATTTGGTTACAGATGAAAGTGCAGAAAGAGCAGAGATTCCCTTTTTTATGAAAGCAGATTTGGAATCTGGCTTCGTGGTTTCTGTAATTGCAGATGACAACTACCTAGCTTTAATTTTGCTCAGTCTTCTAGTGTTGGCTGGAGGGCATATTCATTTAGATGGACTGCCAAAATTCCAGGCGTAAGAGTACCTGATTCTAATTAACTTAATAAAATATAATTTTTTTTCATAACATATGGTTGATTTGATCTGTATATATATTATTTTTATATAACATATATAAAAACTGGTGAATTACTGTAAATAAAGCAGTTTTAGCTATGATTTTTCTTAAATGCTTGAAATAGCTGACTGCTGCAAAATGTTCCCACTTGTTCTTACTCTTTGTGAAAGAATAGTTAGATACCCTGCAGAAAATCTGAAACATCGCAGCTTGCAAATGAGAATCACAGGCTTGGTGCAAAGCTTGGATGGTAACAGCTTGGAATTGCCATCAGAGTAGTGTCTACTTCTGATTAGTACAAATATAGGTAATAGCTACAGAATCTTGTAAAAGGGCATGGTTGTCCATCTCCTATAAAAATGAAGGTAACCAAATACTACAGTGAACTTAAACTGCTTTTAATTTTAGGACGTCTGGAAGCAGTGACCTGAACGGAGAATGTAGGAAGTTTTGACAAGTTTCAGAAAATATTTGAAGACTACAGATACTTACTTCCACAGGACGTTTTCAAGAACCATGAAGAAATTGCTGCCTGTAATTATTTAATGACAAGGAATAAAAACTGGGAAGAACTTGTTTCTAGTTGACTTTCTGAAAATGGGTAGCACTGCTGTTGTCCTTTATCTTGTTTTGCAATTAATACAAGAGACAAACACATCTGTTGGGAACTGCATTCCCAGAAAAACAGTAAAATACCAAAGTAAGTGAAAAACAGTAATTTCACAAGCAGAAAGAAACATAGCACCGAGTTGGGAGTTTATTTTTTATCAGGCGTAGAAAGAATGCTATGGACTGTTTCACCTCAAGTGTTGCGGATGCAACATCCAAATGACGGTGAGGAATGCCTGAACAATAATTGTTGTAGCTGGAGGTTCTGGCTTATAGGTAATAATAATAATAATAGTGTCGTTTATTTTCCAGTAATGAATTGGGAAAAGAATGTCCATGCATTTATTCAAATACTTTCCTATTATTTAGAAAATGTTCTGGAAATGTATATAAGCTTTTACCTTCGTTCTGTTACAATTTGTTTTCAATATGGAATTTTTATTACATACCACTGTGATTTTAGTGATAAATATTTTAAAAATAACTTATCTTCTATGTTTTACAGCTGGAAATACACACACTTTTATGAAAGAAGGATTACCCAATGTTTCCACTCTCCTTGTGAATGAAGAAACCGATACCTTATTTGTTGGAGGCAGAGATGCAGTATTTGCTCTTGACTTGAATAATATTTCTAGAGAAATAGCCAGGGTAAATTAAAGACTTTTCTTTTTTTTCCCATACATTCTTTAAGAAAATACTTGTTCTGTGGTTTTCTTAATTTGAACATAATGTTCTGATTTTAAATGCATAAAAGTATTACTATTTCAAGACTTGAAACATTATCACAGAATCTTTTAAGCAAAGCAGTACCTCTCTTCAGGTTATTTATTTGCCTTGTACGTTACGGAGATACATAGAAAAATGCTTATTTACCCAATAGGTTCAAAGTTAGGATTATTTAGGGATTTTTTTACACATAATTTTGTGGGGGGGAAAAAATTGCAGCATGCCACCTTACAAGTATTTTTGGCTTTTAGGAATACTGGTTTGCTACACAGGAGAGACAACTGGAATGTATTCGTAGAGGAAAGGACAAGGTAGGAACTTCTGTTTCGCCCTCTAAGTTATTAACTAAAATGAAAATGGCTACATTATCAAGCTTCTTTTTAATAAACACAGTAAAAGCGAGTTCATTCAAACCTGTTGGGTTTGTTCGCTTGCTATTAAGACACCAGGATATTTCAGATAAAATCCACTACACTATGAAAATTTTATTTTTATGTTCTATTTTAGATAAGATGCCAGAACTACATCCTCTTCCTTCATAAGATAAATAACTCTAACTTATATGTTTGTGGAACCAATGCGTATCACCCAACTTGTGATCATATGGTAATTATGTTTGAATACAGGTGTTACTGAAGGTATTTGAGTAGTATGGCAGATCTTTGACCACCTTTCTCAAAATATTCCTGTTGAACATTAGAAACTTTCCTAATTCTCTTCTAAAACTATGAAGGACCAGAAGAGTACTTATGAAATTTTTTTCTTTCATCCTATTTAAATGATTGTTTGCCGTAGGTTATCCATGGGATGAACATAAGCTTGCAAAGAAGAGCTGAAGAGAGCAGAGGAAAGTGTCCGTTTGAACCAACTCTAAAGTATGCGTCTCTTTTTGTAGGTATGTTTGGACTGACATGCAACCTGAAATTGTTTTCCTCACCTAAACTAAGTTACTGGATACTGTTATCCTAATTCCATTTTTGCATGTCAGCCCCAATTTGTTCCTTATGAGATGTCTTTGCATTTTAAAAATAAGTACTTCATACTTTTTTGTTTCTTCCAAATCTTTACAGATGGGGAATTTTATTCAGCTACTTCAAATAATTTCTTGGGAACAGAACCTATAATACTTCGCAGTATGAGAAATCCTGTAAGAACAGAGTTCAAAACATCATGGCTTAATGGTAAGAAGGTTCTTTATATATTTCAGTCTCTTGAACTTTATTTGGTGTTATAAATTCTCTCTAGAATGTAGTAGTATGACTCTCATTGATTTTGTAATGTGACCTTTTGAACTAAGGACAGAATTTAAAAGAAATTCGTGACTACGGACTATGGTGATGAGACGAGCCACAGCCCCTTTCCATTTATGAAAGCACAGTTCCTTCTCTTAATGTTTGATAGATTCATAAACACTTTTCAGCCCTTTCCTTGTCCACTAGTCCACAAAAAAGTTCAATTAGACTTAATTTTACAATAATATCTGACATTGCTGTTTTTCTTGGAATAAACTTAAAATGTTTTGTGTATCCATGTGTTTCAGAACCAAGCTTTGTCAACATGGAAATAGTGCATGAAAGTGAATCTAATCCAAATGGAGATGATGATAAAATTTATGTGTTCTTCACTGAAACAGCTGTTGAATTTGAATTCTATGACAAGCTTCTGGTGTCCAGAATTGCCCGTATCTGCAGAGTTAGTATTTGTAGTATAAAGATTTTGTTTAGTGTATTTCAGATGAAGTTTCATAGTTGAGTGATTAACAATGGTATCTACACAAACAAAATTCTGTCATATACATATTTCTGAACTAGCTTCCTCTTTTTCCTGCTAGAACAGAACCAGCTGTTCAGGTTGCATTTGACTTTTAAACCTTTTTTCTTTGCCTTTGAACTGAGATTTGTATTGAAAGGCCAACTATATTTTTCCCCACAGCAACACTATTAGGTGAAAATTGCGTCTATTTCTTTATACATTCTACAGTGTTGATGTTATTCCTTCATTTAGGGTGATCTTGGTGGAAAACGCATATTGCAGAGAAGATGGACATCGTTTTTAAAATCCCGCCTTTCCTGTTCCATTCCAGAATTAAACTTCCATTTCAATATTGTCCAGGACATCTTTTTACTTAGGAGGAGAAAATGGCAGGACAGCATATTTTACGGAATTTTTTCCCAACAATGGTGAGATAGAGGGCTACGTATGCTACTAAAGTTTGTAACGAACTGAGTAAGGGTTCTCATTCAGCATTAATAGCCTGAATACAGCCTTTTGGCTTTAACTCGGAACAAGAAGGTACCAGCTACTTATGCTGCATGTTTTAATTGACCACGTTTGTTTTTCTTACAGCTTGATCCAACTGGGCAAACATTATCATCTGAAACAAACTGGTTTTGGTTCCTGGGCCAAAGCCTTCAATTAAAGACTAACCAAAAGCTTCTCCTAAGCCAAGTTTTCAGAGTTATGTTTTCTGTAGTCGGATGGTGGGGCAATTAAAACTAATTACATATAAAATTACATAATTACATACACAAAGCCCTGGATTCTTCTGGTCTTTATAGCACTAAAGGAAACAGCTGACATTTCAAGGTGCAGAATTATTCTCCTGCTCCAAAAGAAGTATGTGTCATGGCCTGCTTGTCTAATGTAATGTTCTGTGAAAATGAAAACAGAACTCCAAACAAATACCTTACAAGTTTTAGGGTTAACTAGCTTTTTCTTAAGGCTCTGACTAATGAAGAAAAACAAGACGAAGTGTATCAAAACTTTACATCTCAAAAAATACCAATGACAAAGTAACCGTGAGTAGGTAGTTCTCATGTTTTATAAAAGCATCAGAATTATTGGAATGCATCACAGTCAGTACTGTCCAGCTTAACCTGCTGCCCCCTATTTACCTCTCAGTTTATACCCACTGGAGCTTATGTGGGTTTTATTTCTGGTTATGGCAGGTTGGCTTCAATGTGTCCCAAGACAGGAATTTGTAGAACATTTATTCTTTTGGGTGTGGCAAAGAGCCTTAGACTTGGTATTCACTGGTAGAACTGAAATCACATCAGTGTCTGATCCAGACACTCCTAAAAGTCTACCTAAATTTTCAGTCATCATTTTGAAAAGCATTGTAATTGGAGGCAAAGAGGAAAAGTATTGTGTTTTTCAGTAGGATGAGTTAGAGGGATTAGAAGAAGAATTAATGGTCTGTGTCAGAAGTGCGGAGCCAAAGGGAGGAGAATCCTGTCAAAACAGTGATTACCATAATACTTGGGCTCATCTGTCTGTTTACAAGAAAGGTTGTCAAAAGGTCCTCATTCTCTAAGTTGTTCTAATTTATTTGAGGGCGGTTACTTGATTTTTAACAGAAACATATTTAATACCATCTTTTATGAATGTCTTTGTTTTATTCTCTTCTTAGTGAATCATGAAAACTGCAACAGAGAAGTATTTTTAGTGTTAGGTCTCTTTTGACTAATCCCGAAAAAGATACAGCAGCGTGCACTGTGGAGATTGGGTTATTTTACAGTATTTCTTTCTATATAAAAGCCAATAAAACTTGCTTTTATTTTGTGTGTTGTTTGTTGTTTTTTTTCTTCTAAGGGGAAGACTAGACATATCAGCTGTTTGTGCATACAGTATGAAAAATATTCAGGAAGTCTTCTCCAAAGGAAGCTACAAAGGACCGGTAACTGTGGAACATTCCCCTGTTAAATGGATGGTATATAGGGGAGAAGTGCCAGTTCCACGTCCTGGTGCTGTAAATATGAATTTACTTGTTCTAATTCAAGAACAGCCTCTGGATTATCTTTTTTGGTAGCAAATCATTAGCTCGTGTTTTACCAATATAAATGCAGTGTTTATAATCAGCAGAGACCTGCTTTCTCATTCCGTCATACGAAGGTTCCTTGAAAAGCTGCCTTGCTTACAGTTCCGCTCCACAAGAGATGTGGGCTTATTAGCTAGTTCATAAAGTGCGAGGAAAATAGTGATTTTTATCTTTTGAAGTAGAAATAACTGAGTGTGTAGAAGGAAATACACCTTTTTATATTCCTTGGTGAAATGTAAAAGCAATTGTAATCATGTTCGTTATGTTTTGTTTCTAGTGCATTGATAATTTTGCCCGGAGTATTGGGTATAATACTTCCTCTGACTTGCCTGACAAAGTTTTGCAGTTTGTTAGAGATCACCCTCTAATGGATAATTCTGTAAATCCAATTGGTAATAGACCGGTGCTACTGAAGAGAGGTTCAAACTATACCAGGATTGTAGTAGACAGAGTCACTGGCCTAGATAAACAAACATACGATGTTATGTTTCTAGGAACAGGTAAGTGCTTTTATTTTAGGATAAGATACTATACATTTTTATGTATTTTGTTCCAGGATTTTTTTCTGAGACTTCAAAAAAGTAAAAGTATTCATCAGCTCTGTTTGAAGTTTTGCATTCAGAAGCTGTCTTGCTAGTTTTAATTTTTTCATCCCAGTTAGATTAAATGTGTTTGGCTTGTTGGGCATTAAAAGGCTCTCTTTAGAAACTTTCCATATCAAAGGAGACTTGACATAATAATATTTGCAAATTCAGGGATTGTTTGAGGTCTTTTTTTCCCCTGAAAAAAATCATTGCTTCTCTCTTACTGAAAGAAAAAATAAGAATTGCTTTGAAGAATTTCAAAAATTCCCTATGCCCAGGAATGTCTTCTAAATCTCTATCTAATTTCAACATGAATTATCAGGCTGAAATGTTATGCTATGTTTAAACAAGTTTATCTTTAGAAATACATTTCATTTTATGTAGATGATGGATATTTGCATAAAGCTTTCAATTGTGAGGGGGAAATGTTCATTGTGGAAGAGATACAGCTGTTTCTGTCTCCTGCGCCTGTACAATCTCTCCAGCTGTCTTCTGAAAAGGTAGAACTTCTGTCCCTACATATGGAAAGTGACTGCTGTAATAGCTTGCCTCAGGCCTTGCTCTTCTGTGGTATTCTTCTGGCTTTTAATAGCCTGTAAATGTCTCATAATTCTGTTTCTATCATGTATTTGTTAATAACAGAAGCACAAAACATCTTTTTTCTGTAGAAGAAGAATTTGTGTCAAAATAGAACTGAAACAAGCCTTTATTTAAAAATCAGGGAAGGAACTCTGTCAATGGAAAGCTGGGGTTTTTTTTCTCATTCATATCACCATCTATTCTTACAAGATTTGTAGTTTACTGATATTTTTAATAAATACCAGAAAATCTTACAATCCATATTAGAAAATAACAGCTTAAAATCTCACTCACTGTTGTAAAAGAACTCCTTCCTGCATTTCTAGGGAATGCTGTATGTAGGGTCCCCATCTCAAGTGGTGCAGCTTCCAGTTTCCGAGTGCCACCGCTACGAGTACTGCTGGGATTGCATCTTGGCAAGGGATCCCTACTGCGCGTGGTCTCGGTCTGCTGATGAATGTGTTCTACTGGCAAATCAAACTGGTCATACGAAGTAAGTAAAAAGCTATTGTTTCGGCTGCATGCCCGATGTGAGATTGCTTTATCAGTGCACTCTTAACGTCTGTAACGCAAAACCAGGATGATTCCTAGAAATGGAATGATACAAGCTGGAACGCTTCTTGTCTGTGTTTTCATCTGTTTGGGTTTTGGGTTGTTTTGTTTTGTTTTGTTTTTCAGGAATTTAATTCAAAGTGTGAAATATGGGGATGCTTCCAGCTGCCTTAGTGTAGGTATGTGAATGTTTGTTTTAAGAAAGACTATTTTAACTTCATGCGATCGAAATGCTTTGTGCTCACTGGAATTCTTGCATTATGGAAAACCACAGAATTAAAATCATGTTGATTATTAGTTTTGAACTAAGACCAAAACCACCCACACTGAGCTGGTACTGCCTAATGCTCTTAACCCTCTTAATCTAAATGTCAGAATACTTCAGTTCAGACTGAAACTCTTACTCTCAAGGGAAGCATAAATGTGACCCGTTTGAAGTTATCGGTGTCCCTCCCACACCCACTTTGCAGAAATCACACGACGCATCAGCTGTCCTGTTAAGCCTGTCACTGCTTTAGGATGCTGCTGTGCAGATACATGACATACTATTCAAGAGTACGCTTAAAAATCAGGCTATTTGTTATCAGCCATTTAAAATTATTTCTATTATTTTTAGTGGGATTGGGAAATTAATCACTTTTAATGTAGACTTGCAGATGTGTGTGATCTGGTATTATTATGCAGTGACTTCGTAATGAGTTGCAAGATACATTGCTTTCTTCAGTGACGCAAGATGTATTTCTTACCTCTGCTTACGTCTCTAAAGTCAGAGTTGTCTTTAGTCTTGTATGTTTTAGACTGCACGACAAATGATAATAAGGCAATCAGTGGGACAGTTGGGGAACTTTCACATAGCTGATACAAGCATTGTGCAGGCAAATCTAAACATCAAAGCATTTCTGTGAAGAGATGTCATTAACCGATACAGCAGTTGAGGCATACAAAGGTGAATTTATTCATGCATGGCTATGTGTACAGGTGAAGCAAAATCATCCGATTTCAGTCTGGAAGTCTTAAACTTCTAGTCCCGTATTGATTCTGTTACCTGTCAGTGGGAATAAGGCCAGCAAGATGTCGCTGATAGTCAGACCTGTCAGTAATGGGATTTCTTTGTCTTTACCCCTTACCTGTTCATTACCCATTGTCAAGACGGGTGAATTAAATTTTATATTTATTTGAATATGTATTTGGTTATGTCAGTTAAACTAAATCCCCAGTGTTCTTACTTAAAAAAAATTGTCTTCATAATTTCAGAAAGTAGTGTGAGAAAATGCCTCTTTACCCTTGGAAACAATGTTCATCTTAAATGTGTTCCTCTGTCGAATCTGGCAAGCGTAGTGTGGAAGTTTAATGGGAGCAGACTTCAGGCCGAGGACTCTAAATATCTCCTCTATGATGGAGGAATAGCAATATTTAATGTGACAGTGGATGCGGCTGGATTCTATGATTGTCTCTCAGTAGAGAAATCCAAAGGGAAGGAATTCCTTATCACTGTGGCCCGCTATGCCCTTTATGCCCAAGAAAAGACAGAGGAAGCAAATGCTGTTGCCACAGCAAATAACCATAATGAAGCAGGAGCTGAGGGTTTTCAGTCTTCAGTACCACCTTCTTTACTGAACGAGGCAGCAAAACAGAAATCTGTGGCCAGCCAAAGAGAGAAGCTTGTTTTAAAACTCTTGGGGGCTGGGTTTGCTCTTCTTTTCTTTTCCTTGTTGGTTCAGAACTTCTACAAGGGTCATTTATCTCTGCCTTGGAAGAGCAGAGAAACCAGCTCAAAACCCACCGGTACAGCTGGCTTGGGAAGCCCAGCACTGGCTACAGGGGGATCAGGCAGCGTAAGGAAGAGTTCAGCCACACAAACGAACATGTCTTGTGTTAATGAATCAATGCTTGTGAGCTTTCCTTAAGGAGTACAGCGGGAATGTGTAGCAGTGCAAGTTTCACGGAGAGCTTTGCAGCTCACAGAGCTGTTTGGTTAAGATGACATGATGTTTCTTCTTAAGGAATGTGGAATGTAAATTTGGGTAGGAGTCAGCAGCTCTGAATTGAAGATGACAAGCTGCATTGTGTATTACATAGACGTGTTATCAGTTAATACTTTTAAAAGCAAAATTCCTTGTTTGGGTACCTTTTTGACATGATAGAACCATAAGAATAAATTTCTTTCAAAAATTGACACTGATCCACTTTTTTGTAACATTGGGGTTGCCCAATTACAGAAATTAATACTTCAGAAGCTAATAATACTTAGCATTTAGTGCTTTCACCTTCAGACTTTCTGTTGAAACTACGAATAGCAACTAATTAAGTCTCCCAATGCCCCAAGAGGTTGCTACTATCCTCATTTTACACGTGAGGTTAAATTATTTGTCACTGACCAGAGTGAGTATTGGTGTCAGATCTGGTGCTTTGTTAGAAGTTCCTGAGTCATCTTCCTGTATTTTATCTTTCTCTATTTTCCTCTCCTTTCCCTTTATTTAAGCTTTCAAAACACTTCCCACGCATTTATTTTTCTAATGTGTTTTTAGTGACCTTTATGATACATCTTCCTCTGTCCAAAAATGTCATGAATCAACTTACGTACTGCATTGTTGTTCTGAATTTATTTCTGAGGTATGGTCAAAATTCAGAGATTGTAGCTCCTTTTGTTAAAGGCCATTGAAAGTTGAGCATTTTTTCTGAGACTCTTTTTTCTTCGTTTTCAAATAAATGTTCTCTTACTTTTTCTTGTTTGGAAAATAACATGGGTTCTTTATCACAGAAATCCCTGAACAAAAGGCTGTGCTGCCTCACTCTGTTTCTTGCCAGACACGCATAAAGTACAAGGTTGATCCTCCGCTAGACACAGCACATTTTTTTCCAGTTTTCACATAGCTGTGGAAGGAGAAACCTGCTTGGAAAGGGATTCTCCTCTATGGAAGGCTGTACCAGCTGTAGCAAGACGCCTGCTTTCAAGTTAAACAGGAATGCTTGGAAATGAAGACAATGTGTACAACATAGATACCTGGATAGGAAGGAAGACCAGATAAGCGGCTATTCAGTGTTTTTTCTCCCTTAAAACGTAAATAGGTTAAGCTTCTTTACATTGGAGCAAAGTCACAGTCTTTCTTTTTTTTATGCCTTCTTTCTCCCTGGATCAAATCATTCTTCTGTTACGCTTCATAACAACAGGTTCTTGTGTATTATGTGCAAATACCGTAGAAGGAAGGTGAGGCCAGTTGTTGAACTTGCAAGAAGCAAATTCAGGGATTGCTGTGTCTGTCTGTTAGGCTGTTACTTGCCAGCCCACCGGCGTTTGCCCTTTCCGTGGAAGGATGTAAAGGTGGGAACAGTGTCAGCCTTTCTAGCAAGGTGAAGCCATAGACACGAAGTGTGGACAAGAGAACTATATAAAATGGACGTCTGAAAATTAGAAGACTGGATAGCTGCTGGCAAACCAAGACCTGCCTGGCTGCATTTCAGCGGTTGTATCAGTGCAATGCAGAAACAAGACCTGAGGTGGGTATCCCGTCTCAGTTTGAAAGGGAGTCTCCGTCCTTGCAGGGTTCCTTTACCTATATTCCTACTCCCTATATGCAAAGGGCTATATGGAAATTAATGATGCAGGCTGGATAGTGGTATGTAACTAATAACATAGGAAGTGATCAAATTTCCATTCTTATCTTTGGGGACGCTTACTCTCTTCCCTTAGTGGAAGGAAGTGCAGATGGAATACAAAACCCCATTTCAGAAAATCCTCACAAGGCTACCAGCATTTGGTTTTAGTTCAATTCCTGCTGATCTAATTACCCTAATTTAAATGTGTAAAATAATTAGCTTCTAAGAGAAGTCGTAGATAAGTTACAGTTAACAGGTCGATATGAAAGATACCGTGCCCTACTTTCAGTAGTGTCTTCGGTGCAGTTTTAGTCCTTTTGTCATTGGTTGCCACGCTGTACGTAGGAAGGACAGAGAATATGGGGCAAGAGGACGGAGCCAAGGTAGTCCTTGAGCTGCCTGTTCAGCTGCCAGCTCAGAACAGCCATCCAGCGCTGCTCTGACTTCCACCCTGCAAGGACTTTTCCGAGCGTACACTGCGAAAACACAGACCTTCCCCATTGCTTCTAACATTGGTTCGGCTTTCTTGGTGCCAGAAATCTTCTGTGCTGACAGCTGCTGCCATCGTTTCAAACAGAGCGTTACCTTAGTGTGCTCGGAATATATCTGTCTGACGTTACACTTAAAATTACCGGCAGCAAACCATAACCCCAGACACAGGGGCAATAGTTGCGGGGACGCTGGGGACGGGGAATTACGCCTGTCTCAGTAAACCTCCCTTCTATAAATACATTACAAAAAAGGGTGGAGGTAAAACGCTGAAAGCGGAGTGTGAGAAGTGGTGTTACTGCTAGTGTTTAGGCTCCAGTATTGAACTCTGCTATGAATATTGCTAAATTAGGAATGCTACTTCCACCTTTTATTGTAAAATTACTAGTACAGAGCTTACTATTTTGGTGCAAGTTCTGAAGCTATTAACCCATGGAGAAATTAATGAGCAGAACTGTCTGGGATTAACAAAAATCTCTCTTGGGAAGGTTTCCTATTAAAGTGTCCTGATAAGTAAGGAGCGTAAAGGGGGCTGGGATCATCCAGCAGCAACATAACTCAGCACCACTGAGTCTGCTCATGGGAAGCTTCGTGTTAGAGCAGTGGCATATTTTAAGGCAAAACTGAGGCACTTGTGGGAACTGAGCGAGGAGTGTTGGTGTTCGGTCGGGATTTGAGTGTACTGGTAGGGGTGTCTGGGAGGAAATGTGGAAATAGTTTCCCACCAAAGCCAAGCTTCGGGTTCTTTACTAGGCATGTTTGTATGAGAAGCTTGCACAGTTATTATCTTCTCTAAAAACTGTGTAAAACTTGTTTACGAGCTTCAAAGTTACTAACTTAAAGCCCAGAATAACCGCAC